GTGTAAGATCACCTTCTGTGATCACTTACTGTGTACACTCTGAAACAAATACTTTCTTAGGAGGATTTATATGTGTATACATATATATTGAATATATTATACACACACAGACACACACACATACACACACGTAATTTGAGTTTTCCCATACCTTGTTTAAATGCATGAGGTCATATGACAATAATATTTGCATAGACATAATGTAAACTCATGCAATTCCTCAGTCGTATTTTTTATATCCTGCTTACAGAGGACTTTGCCAACTCTCTAAGAGCTTTGAGGCTGCTGCTGGGAGTTCCTGGAGGAGTCTCTCATCAGGTCCCAGTCCTCTTGCTTTCTTAGTCTTGGCTCTTTCGTGGACGTCCTTGCATTGCATGGCTGCTGGGGATGTGTATAAAAACTCTGACTTCCTAGCCAAGGAGCTGGCCTCACAAATCCCCAGAGCCCCAGGCCCTGGAAGCACAGTGCATAACGCAGACCTCTACTGTGGAGAAATATCTATGTCACATGCAGGCAGCTGGAGGGTAGACACAATTTGTCCCCATTTGCTTCTTGTCAAAGCAAAGTGCCTTCCTGGTTGTCAAAGCAAAATTGTGGAACCTCCGTAAGCTCTGCTCACCAGATTTCATAGAGTTCTTTGTTTATCAGAAGCATCAGAATAGGTTTATATTTGGATCAATAATCCCATTTGGTGGAAGAAATAGAGATTTCAGAGATTTAAAATATTGACCCATTAAGAGATACTAAGTGTCTGCTTAGCTTTTGAATAACATGTCTGTGTTAGGGGGAAATGTGTTGTGAGTTCTGCCTCCACAGCAAAGAAGTCAGAATTTAAATCCCCAATCTCCTTTCCAGCTGGGACTCAAACATGCAACTTGTGCTTTATCCATCAGCCCTACCTGTGAGATGCTCTGATGGGAAGATAACCCCAGGAAGCAGGCTCCATGTGAACCTTCTTTTTTGCAGACACAGGGGCGGCAGAAACACATCTTTGGGGAGACAGGGTTGCAGCTCGAGATACTTGCAGGGAGGTGTTGGTGGTTCAGACAGCATGTTGACTGAATTGGTCTCTAGGCGTTCGGCATTCAGGGGCAGCCAGCTGGGCAGGGTTTTATATTTATGATTCTGTGGCAGTCCAGCATCTTCATAATAAATACCTTTTGCCTTGGAACAGGCAGAGGGAATTCTTAGCTTCTATTCAAGAACCTGATCAACTAAGTTCTATTTTATCTGTTTTATGCTACCCATTTTTTTTTCCTGTTAAACCTTCCTATCAGAGCATTTGCAACATTTTGCAAAGTGCAGTTTAAAAACCTAGCCATAGATTCTAAAAAATGCCCTGATTTGTTCTTTATGTTGTTCGTTTCCTTTGTCTGCAATGAGATTTTCCAGATGACCACAAGTGACTTACCCGCGGCCTACAAGTTTTGTTCAGGATATCTTTTCATCAAAGTCTTTCCTGATTTGTGTGGTTTAAAATTGCAGTACACCCTTCTTCACAGCACACTTGCTCTCCTTAGCCTGTTTTGTATTTTCCCTGTATGATATGATTTGGCTATGTCCCCACCCAAATCTCATCCTGAATTGTAGCTCCCATGATTCCCATGTGTTGTGGGAGGGACCTGGTGGGAGATAATTGAATCATGGGGGCAATTTGCCCCATGCTGTTCTCGTGGTAGTGAATAAGTCTTACAAGATCTGAGGATTTCATAAGAGGTTTCCCCTTTCACTTGGCACTCCATTCTCTCTCGTCCACCACCATATAAGACGTGTCTTTTGCCTTTCACCGTGACTGTGAGGCCTTCCTAGTCAGACGGAATTGTGAGTCCATTAATCCTCTTTTTCTTTGTAAATTACCTAGTCTTAGGTGTGCTTTTCTCAGCAGCATGAAAATCGACTACTACAACATACCTCTTATCCCTTTCTAAATACTAAATTATTTAAATGTTATTATTGCTATTTCCTCCTAATTACAATGTAACGACAGGGAGGGCATGTTTTGTTTGTTTCTTCATTTTGGTATGTTTTCTTACGTGATTTATTCCAAGTGCCTAGAAGCATGTCTGAAACAGTATAAATCTTTAGTAAATGTTTGTTGAATGAATGCATATTTTTTAAAATGAAATCTTTATAATTGTGCTTTGTTCCTTCACTTTTGAAAGAACCTCCTGTCGGGAAAGAAAAAATTCAATTTCTGCAATGGCCAAAATTTGCAGCCCAGGATGTGTTTTTTCTTCCTGACTACATGGTTAGGGTCAAGACTTCAGGCAAGTCAAACCCCTGTTTGATCCTCAGTAGCTTCAGTTGCTATAATCTCTCCAGTACTCCACAGGGACCAAGACATAAAGATGGGGCATCTAGAGGGAAAATTTAACAATACTCCTCCCGTTTTCATATGTACATATATAATTTTTTGTTCTCTCCCTTTTTCTTCTTGTTTGTTGAGAGTCAATTGGTTAAAACATTTTTTAACCTTTAAACTTCTCAATCTTTAAGCCAGACATTAGGAGAGAGACATTAGAGGCCAAAGTGGTGCAAGATGTTGATGGATTCAAAACAGAATTAAGAGTTGGGCTGCTAATGGAACTTCTAGGGAGTGAAAATACCAAATAAGAATTGGTAAATCTACTAGAAGCAACACATCCACCGGAAGTTGCACACAAATTGGCTGTTCAGAGCTTATACCATTAGTAATGATGCAATTATTGTGCTTATAGCCTTTCCGGTAGTTCATAAACAAAGTAACTCTTGCTGACATGGGATTTGACTGTGTAGTCTGGATTCTAGAGTCTGAGAGGAGAGGCCTGGGCTGCTGGAAGGAGGGAGAGTTTGAGAGATTTCTTTCCATTTTTGGACCCAAGGACGACACTGACAAATGTATTCAAATACAAAATGCTTCACCCTCATGCTGGCTGGACTCATGCTTCGATGACCCACCAAAGCTTACTCCAGTCCTGAATGTGCTCCATGCTCCTGCCAGTCCTCTAGGCCATGTATGCTTGACTCACCTGAGCAGGGATTTAGGAAGAAAGCAATTCATGTGTAGTATTGTACAGTGATTTATAGTTATTTGAAACTCAAGAAAATGAATTCATATTGTTTATAACTTTTCTTTAAAAGAACACACTAGTTAACAGACATCTCTAGTTGAAACTCCAGCTTTAAAGACGACATAGGAATTGAACTTACTTTAGGCAGAGTGTGGAGTGCCACGTTGGGATGACTGCAGTCCTCCAGGCCCTCTGCTTCATGAATCAGCACCCCTAAAATGCTGTTGCTTTTCAAAGTATCTTCTATATGTTTTACTCATGACCTTCAGATTATTGAAAGCTCTAGGTTGCCGGGTCTCTTCCTACTTACCTCAGTGGCTTTCATAGGGATGTTAGCCTGGAGCCAAGTAAGAGAAAATTGTTGTTATTTATATAGAGAGATTAATTGTGATTTTTATGTTTGCACATAAAAATATGCATATAAACTAGAATCTTGATTAGGCAAAATTTCATCCTAGTAACATCCTCAGATAATTCCTATTAGTCTGCTGTAAAATTGTAAATGATATAAAGTGGCCCTTAATAAATATTTCTTTCATTTTTTAAATAAGCACATGTTAAGCACCTGTTATATATCACACACAAATAAGACAATTACCGGCCGGGCGTGGTGGCTCATGCCTGTAATCCCAGCACTTTGGGAGGCCGAGGCGGGCAGATCATGAAGTCAGGAGATCAAGACCATTCTGACTAACACAGTGAAACCCTGTCTCTACTAAAATTACAAAAAAAGTAGCCAGGTGTGGTGGCAGGCAACTGTAGTCCCAGCTACTCGGGAGGCTGAGGCAGGAGAATGGCGTAAATCCGAGAGGCAGAGCTTGCAGTGAGCCAAGATCACACCACTGCACTCCAGTCTGGGCGACAGAGTGAGACTCTGTCTCAAAAAAAAAAAAAAAAGGCAATTACCAAAGGAAGCCCAGGCCTCACATCCTTCAGTCTAAAAGTGTATAACATTTCCATCTCTACCTATCTTGTTTTGGATACAGTATCACTTTCAGAATGATAATTCTAAGCTAATGAAATAGTCTCAATCATAAATATCCAAAAAGTTTCACTAAATTACATTTTTTAAAGGAAAAAAATTGAGAAGGACAAGACTCAAAAATAGTTTCTAGTTAGATATACAGACTGGAAATCACAGGTTGCATACCAGCGTTATTTGGGTTAAATATAACCTTCACAAGGGTTTGTTCAGGCCCACACATTATCAGCCTTCACAGTGCTTTTATTTATTTTTTCTCCCAAATCTTTCAGCTTGGAATGTATGACTTCTTTTTAAAAAACAAAATCAGAAGATATGGTAAATGTGGGGCTACTATTATGAGAGAAATCAATGGGAGACAGTCAGTATCAGCTCTCTTACACGGCCAACCTCTTGTTCACCCGAGTCTCTGACTTCCTCATTGTCTACCCAGAACTGAGAACAGAGGTCAGGCTAATCTTTGCCCTGGTGTTCTCATTTTCTCTTTGGTAGTTGTAAAAGAAAGTTACTATTTTTAAAAATTCATATATTAAAAATTTTGGTCTAAATTCTGACCGAATTTACTCAGTTGTGCCTTATCTGGTAAGAATGTAATTTTGCGACACTGCCTCTCAACATTGCCATTCATCAATATTTGACTATATAAACATTTCGATGAAAATGTTGTTTATATGTGTACATATATGGGTGTGCATAGGTGTATAAATACAAATTTAAATATATAGAAAGAGTGAGAAAGAAAGACAGAGACAGAAAAAGAAAGAACAGAAAAATGAGATGACGAAACAAAGAAATGAAGAAAGCAAGCACAGGGAAAGGGGGAAGTGAGGGAGGGAAGAAGACAGGAAGGGAAGGAGATTATCTATATACATCTATTCTCCAAGATATTTTCAGCTCAGTTTCTGTGCCATCCCCTGTGTTACTTCAGGCTTGCCCTGCCCTGACTGGTGGAATATCTTGTCTTCCAGATGGAACACCATTTACCTGGTGGATTGGGCGGTCCAATGAAAGGCACCCTTACTGGGGAGGTTCTCCTCCTGGGGTCCAGCAGTGTGAGTGTGGCCTAGACGAGAGCTGCCTGGACATTCAGCACTTTTGCAATTGCGACGCTGACAAGGATGAATGGTAATGAGAATCTCCATCTTTCTGCAATTATAGAGAAAGCGCATTAATTGATGTATAAAATTTCCCCAAGACAGAAGGACATGGATGAGAAGCTCAATACAAACTGGAGTGCCCCGATGGTGACCTTTTTTTTAACTTTGAAAATGGTCAATTCTAGTATTTTCAGTATAACTGATGTTTGTCACATAGAAGCATGTGGTCATACCATCAGCTTCTTTTTGTTGTTGTCTTGCTCTGTCACCAGGCTAGAGTGCAGTGTCGTGATCTCAGCTCACGGCAACCTCCACCTCCCAGGTTCAAGAGATTTTCCTGCCTCAGTCTCCCGAGTAGCTGGGAGTACAGGCACGCACCACCATGCCCAGCTCTTTTTTTTTTTCTTTTCTTGTATTTTTAGTTGAGACGGGGTTTCACCATGTTGGCCGGGATGGTCTCGATCTCTTGACCTCGTGATCCACCTGACTCAGCTTCCCAACGTGCTGGGATTACAGGTGTGAGCCACTGCACCCGGCCTCCATCAGTTTCTTATATTCAGAGCTTCCCATTTCAAACAAGGAATGACATGTAATATTGAGCTTTGCAATTGAGTCAGGATATTAATGATATGTGGACTATAGGTTTTGGGGGGAGAGAGTGAGAGAGACAGGGATGTGGGGTTATATAGGCTGTTTCTTCACGCTCCCATTGATGTTTCAATCACCCACCTTCCCTTTTGCTACCAATGAACACATACAAAGGAAATGTATATTTATTGAGCATCTATTAAATTTCATATAATTGTCTTACTTTTGCTTGATAATGTTGAGTAGTATCTATTGCAGAGATGTTAAATAATTTTCCCAGTGTCAAACATGTCGGTCAAGTGATAGATACAGAATTAGAAATCAGCTGTTTCTGCAGCCAGGGTTTCTCTTAGTCTCCCACACCAACTTACTTCTGTAAAACGAATTTAGTTTGAAGCTTCCATGCCCATTACATTTATTCTTCTTTTATCCTCCAGGTGAGCTGCTAGTTTTTTACTGTATTGATTACAAAAATATGTACAGAACATTTCCAAATACACTTTTTCTTTGACTGAATTTAAAGCATTCTTTGGTTTTGGCTTAGCAATTTTGCTTACTTCGTCAAATGCTGCTCAATTTTAATTAAAAATTCTTATGTTAAGCTGGTCTCAATCCCCAAATTTCCCTTTAATATCTTTCCTCACTCCTCAAACTGTTAACCACAAGGACTGCTTCACATAAAATATAAGGTTAAGCTAAAATCTCAGTTCAGCAAGGAAAGGACCAGGCATTTGTCTTCATTGGACCCCAGGAGATGGGAATTATCTCTTCAGAGTACCCTAGGGCTGCTTAGGCACCAGGGCAGGTTACCTGAGTGCCTTCTCCTAAACTCAAGCTGGCCGAAGTTACATGGTAATGAATCTTGCTCTTCATGTAGGTGAAATTAGATATAGGTAACCACAGGTAGAATGGGCTTCTGCATTCCTTGAGCCCCCACTTTATCCTCCAGTGAATTCCATCTCATTATTGCAGATGCCTACAACCAACTATGATTTGTATCCCGGGTGGAGGCCATGACTCTTTAAACATTATCCCTCTCAAGACCTACAGAAGACATTCAGTGGTAATTAGTTGAACACATTAATTTAGACCATCTTTAAAGAAGAGAATTATCACAAGATGGCACCTACGAGCTTGGGAGGTGTGTTGAAGTGTTAGATGGTTGTGCTGCCATAAAACATATTCAGAACGTCTGCTCCCAGTCGCTTGGATTCACTCATTCCTTTGATTTATAAGTTTA